GCACCTGGTCAGATCCCATTTTCAAGTGCTGAAATATTAGGGCCAAAATTCCCTGGCTAAGGTAAGGCGGGTCTTTTTCAGACATGGCAGTGCGTTACTTGTGTGACAGTTTTTATTTTTATCTTTATTATTTTTAAAAACCTAGCTCCTGCAGGAAGTGTAACACTTTTTAAACAGCACTGGCAAAACGTCCTCAGAGAGCCCTTTCTTCATTATGATCACAAAAAGGTTTTATTGTCCTAAATGCTATACAAAGTATAACGAATAGACACTCTCAGCGGCCTGTGTTTTCAACCGGAGACACTTCTGTCAAGCGAAAGCACAAAGGAAAATAAATATACAAAAGGGCACAGGCGTAACTAAATTCAGATGCATTTCTATTATGTGCAAATAAAGGTGGGTGGAAGAGAGAGCAGAGAGATGAATAGGGGACTCTTAGGAGTAACAGTTTTGATCGGGAAAGGTGAGAATGGCCACCTTCCTGACTCTAGAGAACTGATTACAGATGAGAAGGCAGAGCACTTACTTGTGGCCTTAGCCATTCCAACGGAATTAGAATTTATTTGTATTAAGTCCATCCTACGTGTGCCACTGGGCTATTTGTTGTAGATACAAAATGTCGAGATAAAATGTGTCCCTCTCCTCTATCTCTAGTGGAGAGCTGACACACAGATAATACATTCCACTGTGCTTGGATTTGTTAGGGCCTTCTATGTTGCTTCCTGCTCCTAGGGTGTAGTGGGTAGGGTCCAACTTTCCCTGCAGCTCCCCCTCTTCTGAAATGGGCTCTGTGAAGACAGGGACCAACCTGGCCGCAGTCTGTGATATAAAGTGCTCATGAGCCAACATTAAGCTCCCCACCCCTCATATGGGCTACTCACTAACACTGCCCAGATCCCCTTCAGGTGGCTGTGAGGTCAGATGGGGAGGAGAGAGTCTATCTGGTAACACTGATGATAAAATACAGTAGATCCATATGCTAACACAATATTATTCTCACATTAACTCAGGTGAGCCTCATTTGAGAGGAACACTGTCTTAGCTCAGAAAAGTAATTGCAAAATTTTCCTGGTTAATTATTAATCTTCTCTAAGTGACAAAAGGAAATCCACAGCAAAGTCAGGGCTGGAAGGGACTCAGAGGTCATTTATCTCCTGGCTTTAGAGAGTACATTGAAAATACTGCAAACAAATATAATACCATGTTTAGATGACTTCAGGAAAAAGGGTTACATTTTTTGGCATCCAGATTCCCCATTTTATAATACCCTCCATCTTTGCATCTCATCCAGCAGAATCACTTGGGAGACTTTTTTAACACAGGCTGCCGGCCCCACCCCGTGGTTTCTGATTCAGCAGGGCCTGGGTGGGGCCTGAGATTCTGCATTTCTCACATGTTTCCAGGCTGTGCTGATGCTGAAGGAACAGGGTCCCCACTGTCAGCACCTCTGTTCCAGCCTAACCTTTGCTGGACCTGACCCTTTCATTCTCGATGGAAATAGATACCAGTGGGTCACCATTCTTTGGCACTGAGACACACATATACTTGAAGAACAATCTAAGAGTCTCCCGGTCATTCATTTCCTCTTCCAGGCTACATAACACTAAATAACAGAAGTTCCCTACCCTCTTATCATAGGTATCATTTTCCAACCCTCAATTGGTTTTTGGTTTTGTGTTGTTTTGTTTTGTTTTTTGGGGGGTTCTTTGTGGAGCCCTCTCCGAGTCTCTTTTCATTGTGGAGCCATGAACTAGACCCAGAACCTTAGAGATTGGCTGAGGTTGGGCACGGGGAGGGGAGGGACTCACAGACTCACAGACTCACAGAACCACGCAGGCCGCTCACATTATTACTCTCCAGTACCCAAGTCTGCCTATCAGCCCTTCTTCTGATTCATGTGCTTCTAACTCCTTTACGAGCTGCAGTAATGCTCAGTAGACCTTCATCATGCCTTTCTTCTGAGAAGCTGAAGGCATTTCCCTAGCTAATATTACAGTTGACTCAATATCCTAAACCAGTGCAGGGTTAAGTAACTTGTTGAAGTGCAAACCAGTTCAGGAAGGGAGAATCCGGAACTCCAGATTTCTACCTAAATATCATTTTATGGAGAAAGATGCTTTGATATTTATTGGACTTTATAACAAGTCTATCCCCTCCACATAATAATAATAGTTTCAGGTGCAAGTGAAACTGTGAAGCTTCTCCTCTTTGCAGGAGGATTGCAACAGAGGACTGAGAGTGGGGGGCAAGGCTTCTGCGGTCAGTCTTGTCACTTGTCCCCATCACTTCCCAGCTATGGAAGAGAAAGGGAAGGCACAGCCCAGGTGGCACAGCTGGCACAGCCCAGGTGGCAAAAGCCCAGAGGAGCTGAATGCTGAAGTACCCTCAACCCACCCTACTCATTTTGTTTCCCTTTTCTTCATTTTCACATTTTTTTCTGCCAGTGTAGTTACTGAATGTCAGCGGCCCAGTTTCTGTGTCCTGCCTTGTTGTAGCATGTGGGTTGGAACTATGCTTTCCTTGTGCACTGCGTGTGCTGTGGGGTGCTTAATACATGCTAAATTATGACAGCAGTCCTCTGTATGCCCGAGAAGTCAGTCTTCCTCCTGAGGGCCATATCCCATTATGTTACACTTGTGTTTAAGACGGTCGGAAGCTGAAGGCATCCCTCCTGCTCCTTCCACTTTAGGAGCACGTGCTCCTTCCACTTTAGATGAACAGTTGGAACTCACATAACATAGCCTCTTCCGACAAGATTTCTTTTAGAGAAAGAACACTCTAGGGATGTGATCACTGAGCATCCCAGCTCCAAGCCAAAAGGCAACCTGTTACATAGCGCAGTTCCCATTTAGCCATGCAGGCAAGGGACCCATTAAAACCTCATGTGAGTCAAGGGGTCCCAGAGAAAACGTTCCTCTCTGCGTTCCTGAGAAACCCCTCAAAGCTTCCGAGCAGAAGGCTATCCCTCTAGGCAGAAAGTAACAGTGAAATAAATCTCCTGCAACCGGCAGCGGTTCTGTCAGAGCCTCTGGGTCTGTAACTATTTTAAGACGTGGAGGAGTAGGATAAGAGCACGGGCAGCTGGAGAGAGTGGCTCCAACAAGGCTGCAGGGGAGACGTGTGGTCACCTGCCGCGTGGGGACAGCAGGGCAAGGGCAGGCGGGCTCGGCTCCTGGACTCCTCCTGAGGCCACAAGGCTGACCTGTTTCTCGGCACCTGGGCCCCCCATGTGTGACTCTGCATAGAGCTCATCATGATTTGTCGCCCAAGGTCATAACCAGTCACCGCCAGCATCATTTCACCAGGCACACGGGGTAGAAGCAGCAAAGAGAATGGCAGCACCGGCAAACACTTACATAATGAAAACTATCTCCGCTCTCACTCACCGCTGCCACTCTCAGCACGTAAATCATTAAAACAAACACTCCGCAAGTGTTTATGTGCATTTTAGCAACTCGTCATAAAGCACACGCTTCCTAGTAGTAGAAAAACCTACAGAAATGTCTGTGAAATTAAACAATGGATAAATTCGAATCAGCTTTTCTCTTTTTGCAGGACTAAAAACTACAATAAGTCAAGTGAATACTGGCTTGAAAACTAATACCCAACTACAGTGTACCTTTAAAAATGCTCCACTGAGATTCTGATGGTGCCTTATTAACAATTAAAACTAAGAAGTAACAGCAATAAGTCAGAATTTTTTGGATAAACGTATTCTTTATGAAGGATTACTGGAACGAAACCCTTTTTACTGCTGAAGATGACATTAGAGGCTTCTGTTATCATTATAATTCATCTGGACAGCAAATTTCTCTTCAGCTCAGTAAAAACTAAGTATGAAGTAAGTTTCTTTCTAAAAATAGCCCAAGAACTCAGTACTGCTTTTCTTTCTTTCGTTCTTTTCCTATTAAATGGAACACTGAAATATTTCCTTTCATTGTTGACACTTTATGTCATTTGCATTTAAAATCAGACAATACATAGTAACAAAGAAGTCTTTAACTACATCTTTTCAAAATAGGAAAACGGCATTCACAATACTAACCGAGGACCTGCCTCCTTCCTTGCTCTAGAGTTGACAGGCACAGATAGCTGGTAAGCACCTATCCTACTGCCTAGGAGAATTGTTTCATTAACATCTATATTCCTAAAGCTGATACGTGTACTTGCTAATTGATGAAGAAATTCCTGCCTGGTTCCCTGCTGTAAGCAGACTGTTTGGCATGAAGTCAGTCCACACTGCAAACACGCTTCTAAATAAGCAAGGTGATTCAAATGTAGTTTAAAATATTCAATATCAAATTTTTTTGTGTTCTTCAGTACAAATTTAAGTTGGCAATAACGTGTTAGACGAACTGCAGTTAAGGTTACAGAATCCCATGGTCTTTGGTTACTTTTGATAACTAACTCAGTCTAAAAGAGGATGCTTTAAATTATTCTCTAAAACCTTCCTCCTAAATTAATTTTTAAAAGTGCTTCTCTTTAGGCGTATATGGGTTTATTTTGTAGCACAAAATTCCCCTTAAAAAGATAAAAAACTGTCCATCTGTACATTAAAGAAAATTACATTTGACACTCCATTATTTCTACAAAATAAACTTGTAGCACAGAGTATGACAGGAATTAACTTTTAACATTTTTTTCCTCAAGAGTTAGGTTACCATAGTAGAAAATAAGCTCAATGACACAATACAATGTTTCTGTATTTACAGAAACCATATCCATTAGTCAAATATTTTAACATAAAATAATAATCTACAGATTGCTTTTGGAAAAATAAGAAAGAATCGAAAACTTTTTCTTGGGAAAATTGAATGAGGCAGATTTATTGCACTAGGAGATAAAGAAAAACCTTTTGCCACCTTTCTTAGCTTTCTCTAACGTACCAACCTCAAAGCTTCCAGTTTTCCCAAGAGATAAACATTACTATGACGTTAACATTAGGAAGATTTAAGGAGAAAAGAACAAAGAGAAGTCTTAAAATTCCACCCAGTACTTACAAGTAGTTTCCAAGAAAACTGAGCCACAATTCTTCAGAAGACTGCTCTCCTGATCATAAACACAATCTGAAGTCTAAAATAGATATCCTATCACCTTAGGCCGAGAAGTCACATTTCAGCTTGCTAACTTCTACTTTTACAACTCATAGAACTAACCCCGGCTAAAATTAACCGCAGCCAAGCGGCAGGCAGGAACACGCTGATTTGCATCATGTGTGCCGGGATTTATTCACTAGGACAACATCGGTGTCCTCTTAATGGGAAATGCGGCCAAGGGGCGTGCCCTGGTGAACAATACATAGCATCATGATTATGCTAATTACTGAATTCAGTCCAATAATGCTAACTTCTTTTAAGTTGTTTTTGCAAGTACTGACAAAGAGAAGGAGTAAGCTTTTTCCTAACAGGCATTCACTTGATTTTTAAGCACATTCAAATCAGACCAAACTTTGGCAACAAGGTGGCAGTGCTGTGTGCTCTTTACAAGCAAAAGCAAAGCAAAAGGACATTCTATTCGATTAAACAGCGTGATTAGATGCAGCACTACATGAAATTAAATAGACACAGAACATACATATCGGAAAGTCTATCCACCAGAACCCTGAAATAACAGCTTTTTCTTTCTCTATAATGAACTGATTGCAGGGACTTGCTTTCTGGCTCTGCCTCCTTCTGCACCTCCCAAGGAGTAGCTATGAAGACACAGATTCAGTAATAAATCACAACTGAGAATAAACATCTCAAATATTTGCAAAGGCATTGTCCTTGGCAAGATGCATTTTAAGGTGGATTTACTGCTTGGCTAGAAAAATTGTACTCTGTAGGTGACTGACCATCTACAGAGCATGTTGGAACTCAAGCTAACAGGTAAAGACACCAAGCATGCAGCTGATACTTAAAAGAAAATCAGAACATGAAAAACTTTCTCTCAAAAATATAAGTACAACTTATAACGAAGACATTAACTGCTTAGTATCTACTCAAGATGGTTTAGAATAGTTTGCTTTAGACTAAGTTCTGATGACACATTTTGCTCTTATTGGACACTCTATGAAAGATATCAAAGCACTTTACAAACGTCAATCAAATCTCCAAGCATCTTTGGGAGATGTCGTTTTCCTCTTTTTTTCCACAGATGGGTAAAAGACAGGGTAATTCAATGTCAATGACTTCAACCAACCCTGGATCACCCCATCACCTCCTGAGCCCTTTATAACATCTTCCATATTAACCACTTATCTATAATCCTATAGACCTTTTCAGAGCTGTTTGTTTTCCTCATTTTAAAATGTCATGTTAGTTTGGACTTCAGGAGGTTCACTCTACTTGACACCCAGATGCCAGGCCTGAACTCCAGGGGCTTAAAAAGCATTCCTAGACTCTCTCTTGCAGGCAGGCATCCTACAACATGGATCCCTAAAACATGGCGATGCCCTCAGGAGGCACTGTCTATCTGCAGCCTGCTGCCCAAAGTGCAAACGGTTGATCTTCATTGGTGTGAGTTGGACATCACCAGCACAATCTCCCTCCTGTTGTTTACAAACACTGTCGGCTGCTGGCCTGAGACTGCATCCCCTCGGCCTAACCTGAGGCTCTATGCCAGCACCTGCCCCACCTCTGCAAGAGGGTGGCTGGTATGCATTCCCCTTCACTCCAACCCAGAGTCATGGGAGGCAGCCATTTCCCACTCTGTGCTGAAAGGAGAGAAGTCAGCACTCATCAAAGATGGCTAGCTGCTAATGAACAGAATTGTTCTCAATAATCTACCTCAAACTCACTCTAGAAGTCTTAATGCCAAAAAGGACCTTGTAAGGCTATTTTTGACACAATATTCTTATCCTATTATGTCATAGTTCAGGAGAAAAGTCTCTAAGCCAAAATATTATTTCTGCCCTAAACCACGAAGTAAGAAAAAGCAACTACACCAAGTGCATTTCTGCATCAGAGTTTGTATTGGAGAGGAGCAATCTGATGTATGATGGATCCTACATCCATTCATCGGAAGGCAGGGGACCCTGAGCAATGCTCCGGTTCCTCACACATCAGATATGCCTAGTATGACTCTGCTGTTTCAACTGCAGCCACACTTGTTCCACAGTGGAAGAACCAAAGCATTCCAAATAAAACAGTGCCTCCTCCAATTTACATTAGTCATTCTGCTGCTTCCTTTTCATTAGTGAAACTACTTGAGTCAACAGTGCTTTTGTTCTAGGTATACTTATGACAGTAGAGAAAAATCTGTATCAGAGTACCTTTAAAAGCACAGTAAATTCTTCCCGTTTGTTCTCATTAATTTTTGGTGGTAGAGGAGGGACAGGGAAGGCGGTGACCTATGGGATCTTTAGTTCAACGAATCCATGAAATTAAAGAAAATTACTGTGTTTATGAATCTACACTAATGAATTAACCCGGATACCAACCTTCTATGAGCAACTACATGTATAATTTAAAATTTTCTAGTAGCTGCTTTTAGAAAAGTAACAATAAAGAGGTAAAATTTAATAATATATTTTATTTAACTCAATATATCCAAGATATGATTATTTCAATGTGTAATAACATAAAAACTATTAATGAGATACCTTCATTCTTTTGTTTGTACTGCCCCAAGCCTGTGCAATCCAGTGCATATTTTACAATTAGTACATTCCAATCTGGACAATCCACATTTCCAATGCTCAGTACCCACATGTGCCTGGTGACTATAATAGTGGAAAGCCTGAGTGTACAAATATCTTCTGACAACAGCTTTTCTACAACATATACTAATATTTACGTGTTTGTGAGCAAGTGCACACTTACATACACTCGATAAACATCAACTAAGATACTAGGCATATAGGATGAAAAAAACCTAGTTTTTGTCCTCAAGGAGCTCAAAGTTTAGACACTTGGCATTCTTTGTTTTTTAGAGCTAGGGTCTCATTCTGTCACCCAGGCTGGAATGCAGTGGCACAGTCACGGCTTACTGGAGCCTCAACCGCCTGAGCTCAAGCAATCCACCCACCTCAGCCTCCTGAGTAGCTGGGACTACAGGCATGTGCCAGCACACCTGGCTAATTTTTAAATTTTTTTGTAGAGACGAGGTCTCACCATGTTGCCCAGGCCAGCCTCGAACTCCTGGGCTCAAGTGATTCTTCCACCCCAGCCTCCCAAAGTGCTGGGATCACAGGCATGAACTACTGCCCCTGGCTTCTTGGCATTCTTTACCTTTGAAATAATAGCAAAATATTCTGTGTTCTCTGTGTGTCTTCTTCTGGAGAGAGAAATTTCTTCATCACTTCATTAAAAGAGTCTGTGTCTCAAAAAGGTTAAGAGCCAGGAGACTAGACTAGCAGCAGATGCTGGGAGAAATGGAGAGCTATGGAAAACGAAGGAACTGAGATAGATAGAAGGGGAAAGATCCGAGGAGAAAGAAAGGACTAAAAGGAAGATAAATAAACAAAGAAGACAGAAGAATTTCACTGCTAGACATGAAATTTTAGTTATAAAATCATACAATAAAAATTGGCGGCGAGGCATGGTGGCTCACGCCTGTAATCCCAGCACTCTGGGAGGCCGAGGTGGGTGGATCACGAGGTCAGGAGTTCGCGACCAGCCTGACCAACATGGTGAAACCTCATCTCTACTAAAAATACAAAAAAAATTAGCCAGGCATGGTGTTGCATGCCTGTAGTTCCAGCTACTCAGGAGACTGAGGCAGGAGAATCCTCTTGAACCCGGGAGGCAGAGGCTGCAGTGAGCCAAGATCACACCACTGCCAAGATCACACCAGCCTACGCAACAAAGTGAGACTCCGTCTCAAAAAAAAAAAAAAAAAAAAAAAATTGGCATGTTCCAGTTACTATGACAGGTGCTGGGGACAGATACAGAGATGAAAGACAAGGTCTCTATGTCCAAGGAGTTCACCTTTTAGCGACAGGAACAGACTCACCCAGGCAGATACAATACTTGGGTCAAGTATAAGACGCAGTTTATGTGTGATATGCTATGGCTGCAGCAGGGAGAGGAGGGAGGGTGCCACACAAGAGGGACACAGTACCCTTTCTTTTCTTCTTTTTTTAATTGAGAAGATGTCTCACTCTGTTGTCCAGGCAGGAGTGCGGTGGCACAATCTTGGCTCACTGCAACCTCCACCTCCCAGGCTCAAGCGATCCTCCCACCTTAGCCTCCCAAGTAGCCGGAACTACAGGTGTACACCACCACACCTGGCTAATTTTTATATTTTTTATAGAGATGGAGGAGTTTTGCTATGTTGCCCCGGCTGGTCTCAAGCCTATGATAGGACAGTAAATAAATAGGCTGGGCTCGGGTGATCCACCTAACTTGGCCTCCCAAAGTGCTGGGATTACAGGCGTTAGCCACCATGCCCGGCCCCTCATTTCTTAAATGAAGGTTATTTTCTGATTAAATTTTAAATTTATGTTCTGGAATGACTCAAGATTCTGCATTTTACTTTGGAACCTTAGAAAAGCATGGATAGGTCATGGAGAAATCAGGTATTCTAAAATATTTTAAAATGACATTTGGAAATAGCAGTGAAGTTTCTATTCTGAGCTATTTATCATCAAATTGAACCTGGTTATTTGATCCAACTATTTAAGGTTGAGGCAGGAGGATCACTTGAGGTCAAGAGTTCGAGACCAGCCTGGCTAATGTAGCGAAACCCCATCTCTACAAAAAACTTAGCCGGGCATGGTGGCACACACCTGTAGTCCCAGCTACTTGGGAGGCTGAGGCATGAGAATCAATTGAACCTGGGAGGCAGGGGTTGCAGTGAGCCGAGATCACACCACCACTCCAACCTGGATGACAGAGTGAGACTCTATCTCAAAGGGAAAAAAAGCCACCAAAAAATGAACATTGAAGAAAAAACTCAACTTGTTAGGAATTCTCTGTATTTATTTATTTTGAGACAAAGTCTCGCTCTGCCACAGTAGTGCAATCTTGGCTCACTGCAACCTCCGCCTCCTGTGTTCAAGGATTCTCCTGCCTCAGCCTCCTGAGTAGCTGAGATTATAGGTGTGTGCCACCATGATCGGCTGATTTTTGTATTTTTAGTAGAGACGGGGTTTCGCCATGTTGGCCAGGCTGGTCTCAAACTCCTGACTTCAAGCAATCCACCCACCTCGGCCTCCCAAAGTGCTGGGGTAACAGGCGTGAACCAAATGTGCCTGGCCTACGTTAGGAATTCTTTGGATTGTAGCTGTGGACTCACAAAGACCTGGGTTCAAAATGTACCCCACCACCTACTAGCTGTTTGACCTTGAGTAACTGAGCTCACCTCCGTGACTCGGCTTCCTCGCCTGTAAAATGGGGATAATTATGCTGACATCAAGGGTTGGTGTTGGAAGGAAGTGAGATGTATATAGCACAGGCACACAAAGAGTCTCAATAAACGGCCGGAGCCATTATGCTCACAGCAGGTCTAGCAGCAGTGTGGTACTTGCTGAAGGGCAATTTGGGATATTGACTGAGTGTGGATTAAAGGCTCCCTGTTTTTATAGCATGAAGCTTCTTCAAAAAATAAAATGTTGAAAGGAACTTCAAATGGTTGTTAAGTATTTCAGGAAAACCAAGGTCTGTTAACTCCTTTGGAAAACTCTGTAGCTGCGCCAGCCTGTTTCATTTTCTCCATGATATGGCTTCATGTCCCCAACCAGAGGTTAGCACAGGATTCAGGGACACTGACTGAAGAACACAGGCGAATCACGTGTCTGGGCAGACAGCTGCTGTAAAGACCCCCTATTCCTTCCTTACCCTAGGGAGTCCCTTCCCGCACTGACTCTGGGCTTGGCCAGTAGGACAAGAGCAAACATAACGCTGGGCCCTGGAAAGTGCTGGCGCGTGGGGGCTCACCCTCTCTTGCGACTCCAAAATGCCCTGCCCTGGCTTCCCTACTGCATATGAGAAGGCCACATGGAGTGGGGACACGCCATCACTGCTAAGTCCCTGCTGCCGGTCAGCCCGCTGAGTGCTGATGGGTGGGTCAGGCCATCCTAAACCACACAGCCAACCAGCTGCCAGCTAACTGCAAAGTCCAGCCAGGCTCGCTCAAGCCAGAATCACTCCGGTGCCGTACAGAACTGTGAGGTACAGAAATAAATGTTTGTTTTTTTGAGCCACTAGTAGCAGGTGGTTTGTTATGCAGCAAAAGCTGACTCATACATACTCTCCAAAAAGGCTGCATGCTCAGGAGGGCTACACCAGTGTGATCCACAGCGATGCAGTCTTCACACTTCAGAAATGGACTCTATTCACATACATACGAACAGAGAGCTCTAACTCTACACAGAAGAAATTGTTATCTTCTTCAGCCAAAATAAAAAAAGACGTAAACTCTTCAAGACAGTGCTTTTAAAAACCCTGATAAATAGCTAATTCAGCATAATTTTATGACAGTTTTGATCAGGATTGTGAAAGTAAAGGCAGCATTATGACTGCTGTTGTTTGAATACTCATTTTAACATAGTTGATTTTAAAAATTATATTAGAATTCTCTTGGGGTTTTCACACTGCTCTACATTCAGAACAGCCATCGATTTAACAAACATTTGTTAAAGCACCATCAGGAAACTCCCAAGCATTTGCAAGATTTGTATAAGTGGCAGGATGTCCATGACCACAACAGAAAGTGGTGTCAACGACAGTTCTGCCTTTAAGAGGTTCATAATATGATAAGAGTCATGACACTGGCCATAAACTTATCATATAAGGGAGTAATTAGTAAGCATCCCAAAAGTTGAAAGTTCATTCCAATAGGAACATAAGTAACGAAGAGGCTTCCAGTTGTGTTAATCAAGAAAGGTTGGCCGGGCACAGTGGCTAATGCCTGTCATCCCAGCACTTTGGGAGGCCGAGGCGGGTGGATCACCTGAGGTCAGGAGTTCGAGACCAGCCTGGCCAACATGGTGAAACCCCGCCTCTACTAAAAATACAAAAAAAAGTAGCCAGGCATGGTGGCACACACCTGTAGTCCCAAGCTATTCAGGAGACCGAGGCAGGAGAATCTGCTTGAACCCAGGAGGCAGAGGCTGCAGTGAGCCAAGATCGTGCCACTGCACTCCACCCTGGGCAACAGAGCAAGACTCTGTCTCAAAAAAAGAAAAAGAAAAAAAAGAAAGGCATCTTCAGCCAGGTGCAGTGGCTCACACCTGTAATGTAATCCCAACACTTTGGGAGGCTGAGGTGGGAGGATCGCCTGAGGCCAGGAGTCCCAGACCAGCCTCAGCACCATATCGAGAGCCCATCTCCATTTTCAAAAAAGGGATCTTGGAGGGAGTGGTATTTGTTTTTGTTTGTTTTGAGATGGAGTCTTGCTCTGTAACTCCAGGCTGGAGTGCAGTGGCATGACCTCAGCTCACTGCAGCCTCCACCTCCCAGGTTCAAGTGATTCTCCTGCCTCAGCCTCCCAAGTAGCTGGGATTACAGGCATCTGCTACCACATCTGGCTAATTTTTTGTATTTTAGTAGAGATGGGGTTTCACCAAGTTAGCCAGGCTGGTCTTGAACTCCTGACCTCAGGGGATCCATCTGCCTCGGCCTCCCAAAGTGCTGGGATTACAGCCCACCACACCCAACCTGAGAGTAGCATTTGAAGGGAACCTTCTCCTAAGCTCTCAACAGTGGCAGGAGTAGAAAGAACACTATACAGAAGCAACACACAAGCAAAGATGGAGAAAAAGGAAAGCTATGTTTGTCTAGGGGACAGCTTGTACTGAGATTCAAGCTCCATCAAGTAATAGCTGCTTTGATGACTAAATTACTTAATTTTTCCAAATCTAGGCTATAAAGTATCCAATGAAAGTGGCATCTGCAGCAAGGTTGCCTGGTTCAAATGCCAGCTTCATCACTTTGTAGTTGTCTTGGGAAATTACTTTCTCACTGTGCC